CCAGGCCCCCTGGCAGCAAGCAAGCAGCGTGCGCCCCAGGCCAGCACAGCGCAAGCACGACAGACAAGACAGAAAGCAGACAGGCGGAAGTTAGCAGAACTGCCTAGTAGAGAGCAGGCAGAGGCAGGTAGGCAAGCAAGCAGGTAGGCCAGGCTGGCAGAGGGTAAACAGGCAAACAGGCAGGCAGGCCAGCAGACAGAAAATAGACAGGCAGGAAGTAGCCAACTGTACTAGTAGAGAGACAAGAGAGACAGGCAGTCAAGGCAGGTGGCAGGCTGGCCTGGCTTGGCAGGTAAACAGGGCCAGGCCAAAACAGGCAAGCAGAAAACACAGACCAAGTCGAGCAAAAAGAGAAACAGGCAGGTATAGCCAGACTGGCCTGGTAGAGAGGACAAAGAGAAGACAGGCAGCTACAAACTGCCGAAATAGCGTTGGATGGTGAAAAATGTTTTCTATATTGACATCCAATTGATGTTTCTTTCATCGCATTTCCAGTCGTCTATTTGCCTGTTTCCCCTTGATGTTGGCAACTGCTGCAATGTTGCATTTATTTCTGCAATTAAAGCGGGGAAGGGGGAGGCGACGAAAGGGTGTAGGAGCGGGGAGGAAGGAGGGAATGAGAGGGAAGGGAAAAGAGTCGAGGGTAAAGGGAATTGGAAGGGGAAGCGAGGAAGGGAAAGGAAGGGGAGGGGAGAGGGGAAATAGCTTGGGAAATCGAGAGAAGGGGATCAAAGTCCAAAGCAACACCTCTTTAACGGTCCTTTGCTCTTGTCCACACTCAGGAGGCAGCACGGAGACATACATAACACATCACACCACGTACGCAGCTCTCACACAGCACACGCACACGCCGTACGCACGCTCTCGTCTCTCTCTCACACACACACACACACCACACACACACACACACACACACACACACACACACACACACACAAACAACACACACACACACACGCACACACGCACAGCACCACACACACACCACACACACACACACGAGAGCTTATGGAAGCCAGTGTACCGTGTCCAGTACATTGCTGCACCTGGCCAAATCAGAGAGAGAGAGAGAGAGAGAGAGAGAGAGAGAGAGAGAGAGAGAGAGAGAGAGAGAGAGAGAGAGAGAGAGAGAGAGAGAGAAAGAGACAAGATAGATAAAGATAAAGTCAAAGACAAAGCAGACAAACAAACACAGACACAGACAAGCAGCCGCCTAAGAAACAATATAACAGAGAGAGAAAGCGACAGACTCACAAGAGGGACAGAGTCGGGCCGTGTGTGTGTGTGTGCTCCCGCCGGATTCGTACAAAGGAAATGCTCAAGAATAGCGCCAGGACTCAGAAAGGACGAGCGAGAGAGCAGCGGAGGGATGCTGCGAGTGAGTCAGGCTGCGATTGTTTGTTTATCCTGTAAATGGAGAGTGTAAACCTGGACAGGATAAGCAGACGTATGACTCCGGAGCGAAAGAGTACTTGTGAAGAGGAGGGAGGGGAATTAGATCGTTTTTTTTTTTTTTTTTTTTTTTTTTTGGGGTAATATTTATTTTTTTGCATTAGAAGAGGAGGGTCAACAGGGGAATTAGATTCGTTTTTTTTTTTTTTTTTTTTTTTTTTTTTTTGTATATTTTTTTTGAAAAGTTGCATTAGAATGGGTTTGTTTGCACGGTGAAAAGGGTTGAATAAGCTAGAGTAGAGAGTAGGGTATACGTGTGTGGGCTTGGAGGCGTTCTCTCATTCTTCTCTGTCTTTGCTCTTTCTCTCTTTCTTTCTGCTCTTTCTCTCTTTCTCTTTCTCTCTCCTCTTCTCTCTCTCTCACTCTCTCTCTCTCATCTCTCTCTCTCTCTCTCTCTCTCTCTCTCTCTCTCTCTCTCTCTCTCTCTCTCTCTCCTCTTTCTCTCTTCTCTCTCTCTTCTCTCTTCTCTCTCTCTCTCTCTCACTCTCTCTCTTCTCTCTCTCCTCTCTCCCTCTCTCCCTCTCCCTCCCTCTCTCCCTTCCTCTCTCTCTCTCCCTCTCTCTCTCTCTCTCTCCTCTCCTTTCTCTCTCTCTCTCTCTCTCTCTTCTCTCATTCTCTCTCTCTTCTCTCCTCTCTCTCTCTCTCTCTCTCCCTCTCCTCTCCCTCTCCTCTCTCCCTCTCTCTCCCTCTCCCTCTCTCTCCCTCTTTCCCTCTCTTTCCCCCTCCTCCCTTCCTCTCTCTCCATTCCCTCCCTTCTCTCCCTCCTTTCCCCTCTCTCCCTTCCTCCCTCTCTTCCCTCTCCCCTCCCCTACCCTCCTCCCGTTCTCTTTGCTTATATATTGGCTCGTTGTCTATTGGTATCTTTATTTGGTATTTGCTTCTTCTTCTTTTTTCTTCATTGCCTCATTATTTATTCATATTTTTTTGTGACTTCTGCTCTGAAGGATGACGATTCAACTTTATTGCGAGTTGGCTTGAACTTTTTGATGTTAGCTTGAGTTGTTTTTTTTTTTTCCTTTTTTTATATGCAAATTACTTGTGTCCGTGCATTTTTGAAATTGTTTCCAAGCTCTCGATACACGCGTTAAAAAAAAAAATATAAATAAACGAGCAAGGTAAAATAAAATAGATAAGTAAAAGAGAATGGATAAAAGATGCGCTAATAAAGAAATACATAACCGTAAGACCGGTTCTTCCTCGTTTATTTTTGGGTACGAAAGCATATAAATTGCCAAGCAAAAGACTCCCTTTTTAGTGGCAGACTGAGCAGGGGGGGGGGGGGGGGGAGAGTTGGCAGGGCGTGGACGCTCCTCCGTCTTCGGGGGATGGGTTTATTTTTGCTTTGGCTTTATCTTTGTCTTTATTTTTCGTATATTTTTTACTTTTTATTTTGTTTTATTTATTTTTTTTTTTTTGGGGGGGTGTTTATTTATTTATTTTTTGTTGTTTTGTGGGGGCGGGGTTGTTTGGGTTGAAGAGGAAAGGGAGGGAAAGAGACAGGGAAAGGGAATGGGTAGTGGGTTATGAAAGGAGAGGGGAAGAGAGGGAGGAGAAAAAGGGAAGGAAAGGGGAAAAGGTGGAGAAGAGAATGCGATGAAGGAAATTGGATTGGATTCGAGTAAGGGAGAGGAGGAGTAAGAGAGAGAGAGAGAGGAGAGA